AATATTTCACCATAGACAGTATAGGACCACAGCTAGATAAATGGTTTAAATAATCATCACACGACAATGTTTTGGCCAGGATCGTGTAATGCCACACACATGGTACATGCTATTCTCATCAATTCTTAAAATTTATTTGGTCTCACTCTGCAGTTTCTTTTAAAATCCTCCAGTTTATTTCATCACATCATTAGGATTAGAAAACAAGGAGTATCCCCAGGGGATTAAACTCCTCTGGGGGTTTCCTTACTGCACCTTGCACTCTGGAATGTCCTCCCAGAAAATCAATGACAGTCTTTTTCTAATGTCACTTCCCTCTCCCACTGTCCACCTTGCAATCTGGAATGTCCTAATCCATTCAGAAGACACAGAGACAAGTTCTTATAACTCCAGGAACACCTTTTCAGCAATTTGCATTTAAAAAAGCTTATTCTTCCAAACAAAGTTCAAATAAAGAATGTCTTGGTATTTGACAAGTTATTACAAAAACAAATTTTACGTCTAAGGTGGATTTCTTTGTCAGCAGCAGTCAGTGTTTGCTGCTCCTTTTTCTCGTAATCCACTTATTTGTTTTCAAACCTTGTTTGAGTTTCTTCAGCTTATTGTTCTGGTTGCTGAATGGAGCAATAGGGCCAGCAGTAAACGTAGAAACCTCCAAACCATTCCTGCTGTAGTCCATTAGATTAACTGGAGGCCTTTGTTGACCAATACACACCACCTGCTGCATAACAAAACACCTCTGTGTCACACTTTCACCTCACCAGAGATCTCACCTCCTCCTGGTTCATCAGAGATAGGAATAAAACAAAGAGGAAATCAGTGCAGACGTCAATCTTCGGCCCATCAGATACCCATCATGGCCTGGCGACCTGCTGGCATCCCTATGGAGGACTGGGATCTGTGTCTGGCAACATGCTGGTTGTCCAAAGCAGGCAGGCTGGTGGCTGTCACCCAGTGCCCAGAGAGAGACATCCTCTGAAGGGTGGGACAAAGGTGACTGGTCCTCAGGGATTACCCATTAGCATTCTAGTTTGTGTGTTTAACACTGGCCTGAAAGGAAAGGACAAGAGCCAACACCACAGGCTATTCTTCAGCAGGGAAGTGCTACTGTTACAGCTGCTAATGCTGCTCGGATTCAAGCAAATGCTTACATGCATGTAGTTAAATGGATTTCTGTTGTTTTCTTTAGTAAAACGACAGAATTTGTGGCAGTCGACTGGGATTTTATGCCAAGTTTGTATAATATTGCTAAATATACTTTTGTGTAACAACCAGTTTCATTTAATCAGTGTTGTCTAGCTGACTTTTGGACACCTGCACAGGAACTTTAATGATCATCACTTGGGCATGCAAAGTGAAAGTTGGCCACATCAATACAAGTCTTGATGTAAATAAAACTGAGAAGGTTTTGATATTGAAAAGCATAATGTGGTAAAAATACTTAAATGACTGAGTTGCTTTTTTATGGAACTTTAAAGGTTAAAGGGGCATTATGGAAGTTTGACAGCCAAAACATGTATAGAAATAATAAATGTCTTCTTCATACATTCTCCTGCAATGCCCTGGTCCTGTAGAATGAGCCCCAGCATTTTTACTGTAATTGCCTGTTTTTCTGTAAAATCACAGAAAAAGAGAGATGCTCGGGTCGAGCAGGCTGCTTCATGCGCGTTCACGCTCAGGCATCGCCCGTAGCATTTGCTATCAGTAGCTTTAGTGGCAGAGAGTGAGGTAGTGCCAACTCAGCAACGTTGTCGCTGTCCCTAACGCCTAGTGATGAACCTAGCTACATTTCTGAGGACCCTTAGCTACTTTCTTCTAGATATTTCCTGCAAATTAGCAACAAAATAGCCATTTTTGCTCTGAACTGTTCTCTGAACATTGTTTCAGCTGTCATCATGGATATAAAAGTTACAGATACAGATCACGTCACTGGACGTCGGACTCTCGTGCAGAAGACCCGGATTCGAATCTGGATGTAAATGTAGTTCGTTTAGAGTTTCTTTTTTACATTAATGGTAAATTTTTTTTACAGTAAGATGCCCAAATTTTTATTTGAGACTCGCAGAACGGCATTGAATTCACAGATAAAAAAGATGTGGGTTCAAATTTCATTTTGGAACAAATTTTCAAGCAAGGGAAGGGAATGATCTGAGCATGCAGGAGGACTGACCCATCATAAACCTTTGTCGGCTGTGCTGAAGAGAAAGGTACAGAACCAAATTATTTAATTAATTAGCTGTGCGTTCCCCTGTCCTCTGTCCTCCGGGCCACACACACACACACACACACACACACACACACACACACACACACACACACACACACACACACACACACACACACACACACACACACACACACACACACACACACACACACAAGGGACTGTCTCAGCTGTTATTTTCGTTAAGGAGTGTGCACGTACAGCATGCGCGCCTCGTGCACGAGCCTACTATTGAAGCTGCTGTTACACTTTTGGCCTGAGGGGGCAATCGCGAGCATAAAAATTCAAAACTCCATAAAGTCCCTTTAAATATGGAACAAAAACACCAAAGCGACATCTAATGTGTTGAGGTTGAACATGGCTGCCTGCCGAAAGGTGAGGGGACCAGCCATCACCTTGTCCAATGACAAATTGTTCAGGGTAAGGATCAACTTCTACTAATTAATTTATTTTACAACAGCATTTAGTGTTAGAACATCTTCTGGACTTGCCGCCATTTTCCACAGTGCCAGCCTGCCAGCCTCACTGTGCCGAGCGGACTGCTTACCGCATTTGGCAACCCACAACGGTGCCCACTATCGGCTGGTAGATGTAAACATAAATCCGGTGTTGTGCCTGTCAAAATAAATATTTGATTTAGATTTGATTTAAAATGATAATCTTTATTCTGCACACCTCTAATCGCCATAAGCATGTATTATTTAAAAAAATAAATAAAACTTTGTATTAAGTAGTTCCATATTCAACCTTTTATCAGTGATTAGTGAGAAAAACATTTTGATCCTTCAGTGCAGCTTTATGAGGTTGAAGTTAAGTAATTACAAAACTGAAAAAAAGTTGGCTGCTTTTAGGATTCAAGTGTAAACAACACTTTTATGAGGTATACAACCTTGTGTGATGAAAATGAATCAATCCCAGTAAATCCAAACATTTCTGACCACTGATTTTTTTTTAGACATTTCTGCTCTGATGTGCTTCTGTTTGTGTATTAGACTACTGATCTGGAGAATACGCCTGCATGGAAATCTGAATCTACGACTGGGTGTTTTTTGTGTCAGAGATAAAGTGAAAGTGCCTCTTTTTTCCGCTGCTGCTGCTGTTTGTGATTATGTGCTCAGCCTCCCTGGCTGCAGGCTGATAATAGCACAAGAGGCTGTGTGTTTGTGAACCTCCTCGTCGAGGAGATTCCCACCGTGCTCAGTACGTCTGGACTCTGTGTGTTTTTGGGGTTGCACGCGTGACTCTGCCAGCTGTTCAATTCTCTCGTTGGCCCCCACAACCCTAGCCAGCCCTCATCCCTGGCCGACCCCTCCTTCCCTCAGAGGCCTGCTCGTCATCTGATAAGGGCTGCACTGGCCGAACCCTCAGCAGAGCTCCTCAGAGCCCCTGAGAGTCGCTCCACCCTAACAATACAGCCTCCTTCCCTTCCGTGCTCGCACCATTTGCATGTGAAAACACCGGGTCTTATCTTCAGCTCACTGAAGCAATGGCATGACAGCCAAGTGAGGGTGTGTGTTGGGATACACGCAACTGAGAGGCCTGTAAAAGAGCTGAACGACAATATGCAAAATAAACTGTGGACACTTATGAGACCAAAGATGTTTTCATCACTCTTGATATTAAATGAACTGATTAAATAAAATAAAACTTCTCATTTCACATCATTTGAAAGAATTACAGTGTTTATTGATACCCTGATTTATCACACTTGCATCATATCCAATACCTAAAGGCAATGGTAACGCAGAACGAAAAGACCCGAGAGAGGAAAATGCCTCCCAGCGCAGCATCTCTTTGGAATATGTCCACGGTGACTTTTGATCATATTTCTAACTCACGCAAACGCTAACCTCAGCCCGCTTTTTTTTAAATTCCTGCAAACTAATTTACCACTTCCCCTCCTTACTATAAAAAAGGTAATAGCAGTAAAACAGGAATGATAAATTCTCACACAGTTTGCAGGGTGCATGCAAGTTTCATCCTGCCAGTTCACCAGCTGCCGTGCAGAAAGAGCACAGGACAGAGGGAGAAGTGTGCAGGCTTTTAATTAAAGTCTGTGTAGTTAAGGGCTTGGGCTAAGCAAACATGGGCCTCCAGCATCAGAGTTTAAGATGAGGTAAAGGAGAGCGGGGCATCAAGAAAAAGGCGGCTAAATGTGCTAAAAGGAGGAGGGCTTGATGGGGGTGAAAAGAAATCAAAATGAGTGATGTGTGAGAGGAAAAAAAGAAAATGCAGATGAGCAGACGTGGATAAGAGCGTATATGAAGAGATGGTGGGTAAGATGATGTGAAGAACAGCAGAGAGGGAGGGGAAGTCAGAGATGGTATCCCGTTATCAGATGTGACATAATGGGATGCGGATATTAGGATGGGAGCAGCAAGATGAGATTCAGGGTGGGGGGTGGGATCACAATGAAAATGGGAGGCAGCTGCTGAGATAATATTTGTTTTAAAACTGGGTTAAGAAACACAAAGGGTTAAATGAATTGGACACATTTAAATAAATAAGACTGGATCCTAAAGATGAACTGATGCTGAAAATTAAACTCATCTCATGTGCACTGCTCAGACTAGTTCTGCAAATAAAGGGTCATAATGAGGTTTACTGTGAATGATGGTGGCGCCATCTATTGATGGATGTGGGAAACCGCATGATCTTGATTTAAATACATTTTCAGATAAAAAAAGACAATCAAACTGACACAAACAGTTAATGACTGCACTTAAATACTATTTAGGAGAATCGCTTCATACCACTTAATATAGCTACACTCCACTGATGCAAAACAATCTGACTTTATTTATTTTTAAAGAACAATCTGACAGAAACTCAAATAAATGAGTCTTAGCGGAATTATTCAAATCATTTTACAAACAAATTGTGCTACAGAAAAGTTCACAGATTAAGATTGTCGACTGTTTGAGGCACAGACCTTTTGTCACAATCTGTCATAAATGGATTCTGATCAGACATGAAAAATATACAGAAATCTCCAAACACAGGATATCAGATATTTATATTACTTCAAATGTTCAAAATCTTCGTGGCAATCTTTGAAAGTCTGTGAATTATACAGAAAACGACAGCGACAGGTATCAGGAAACGGATGAAAACAGGACCGTGATTCAAATCAAAATAAAAACAGTGTTGCATTTCTGACCTGAGAAATGTTTTCCAGTTTTAACTTAAATCAATGAATGAATGTGAATTTAGTTTGAACTAAATAAAAATAAAAGCACATTATTGCTCCATTTTCAGGGAAATGTCCTAGGAAGGAATCTTTGGTTTTATTATCATCATCATCGTTATTATTACTACTATTTGTACATTTGTGCATTATTGTGGCAATTTTTAAGGTTACGATTTGTAATTATAGCTTGAAATTATTTAGTCTGAAACAAAACACTTAAACATGATTCATATCAGTGTGACACCAGTGACAGTGATCACTTTTCCAACACACTGCTGCAAATAAACAAAATGTATTTAAATAGTTTGTGTGGTGTTCACCTGCTCTTCTCACTGGTTTTCAAGAAGTTATTTGTGCCCAGAGACAAGCTCACGTTGCCTTATTGTTTTCCAAAAGAGCCAATGGATTTCAACTGATGTTTTATTTATGTATATTTTTTTGCTTTACACTTGATCTATTTAGAGGAATGATTGATTAATGAAGAGCCTTAGAAATAGATCCTGAAATAGAAATGGTCCACCATAAAAATGCATTTGGAATTTCATCAACGGACACAAAGAAAATACTGAGAGAAAAAATAGTAAAGGAAAACGTCTCCAATCTTCTAGAGATGTCTGCGGTTTAAAGTTCTGCAAATGAGGCTTCTGAAAATTAGTTGTTTTATAACATTTGTCATACTTTTTTTCACTTTTAAAGATGAAAAGGTTTCAGTTCAATTTCTGAATTTAATTCCCCACTTATTTCATATCATATATGTGCATCATACTATGGATACCTTCATGGTTCCTGGGGAAATATTCATAAATGTGATAAAGAACATAAAATAAGGAGTGTAATAAAATACTGCATATGTGACAAATAAACGAGTGGATTGTTATCTTTTCCTTCTTTGGAGAAACAGTGTGATCACTGAAAAGGCACCAGACCTGAAGAGCAATCAAAAAATGATGAAAGTGCTACAAACTAACGTGTGAAGAAGCCATCATACCAGCAGGGGGAGCCAACACACAAGAACAGTCTACCATAAGGAGCTTTAGTTAGTGTAGACAGGGACTTCAGGAAACCTTTCACCTGTTCCTGTTGTCCCACACGGCTCTGCAGCCGGATCTGTGAGTCCTGCAGCCTCTTGGCCAAAAGTGCTCCCATGGGACAGTGGCTACAGGTGGTCAGACTCCTCTCTGGGGCTGTGGCTTGAGTCTGAAATCATAGTTCTGGATGTTGAGGATGAAGAATGGCAGACTGTGGGAGGGTTATGGGGGTCCAAAGAACTGCTGTATTCAGGAAGAGTTCCCTCTGAGGGAAGATCCACCTCTGGGATGTAAGGTGGGGGAGGGAGATCAAACCAGGGAGGCCGACTGGGGAGACACAACAGGAAGACATGAATTTTATGAACTGCTAAAGAACTTGCGGTGCAACAAAATTATTACTAGGAATGTGAGAAAATATCGATACGGCAATGCATCGTGATATTATTTCCAGCAATATTATATCAATATTCGAAAGCAGTGTATCTAATTTTTGGAAGAATTTACATGCAAAAGTTTATGGATTTTCTTTTCATTTGGTGCAAATTAAATGCTGACCACTAGATTGCAGCAGTGTGCAGTGGGTTTCGTTTCCACCACTGAAATGAAAATCCCTCTATTATGGTACAGATACTCATGTTAACTCATTAACTGCCATTGACGACTAAAGTGGTCATTTAAAATCAAACCGTTCACAATTTTTTTGCTGTGTGTGCATCGGTACGAGCCCCCGCACCGTGAGAACAAACATCTCAGCTCTAAAGCCAATCTTCATCTGCATACGTCACACGCCACGTGATCAGGAAGCAGAAAATCCATATGTTAGATCGTTTTGGGCCGCTGCTGTAAATAAAGTGAGGCGCGAACCGGAAAAGCTTCTGCCGATCACAATTCAACAACGGATTATGAAAGAGCGGATAAAGCTCGAAATGCGCCGATTCTTCCTGATGTAAGAGGTGAGTCTCCACTGTGTTTTTGTTGTTTTGGCGTCAACATCATCCTAGCGCGCAATGTTCTGTGACTCTTAAAAAAAAACTGTAAAAACGTGAGAAACGCTGACAGCGAAGGGCCTTACCAATCAGGAAACGGCTGGCAGTTAATGAGTTAAACATGTTAAGTATCAGTTTGGACTGTTTATTGAATATTCCTACAGTAAATTCAGTAAAAAAAAAAATTGCTAATAACGTCTGAGACTTGGACGCAATATATCGTGATACCTTGTATCATCTCCCCGTATCGTGATACGTATCGTATCACCAGAATTTCACCAATACACATTGCTAGTTATTACTACTTAGATTTCATTCTGATTTTAAGCAGTTAAATGAAATGAGACCAGTTATTCTCCAAAACAGATTACCTGTGAGGCGGAAAACATGAAGTGACCTTTTTAACCCAACCATTAGAGTCTAAACATTCAGAACGTGTTCTCTGTTTTATCTGAGCACGTTTAAAACGGGAACACTCTGCTGTTGTCCATTGCTAAACAAACATCAAACAGATTACAGGATTTAACCGATCGTTCCTTACAAATGACATAAAAGCACCACCGGGACGGCTGCTGACAGATTATTTTGATAAGAAGCTGATTATTCTTTTGCTGACAGGTGACATTCAGCGTCACCGTTTTTGCTTTCCCTTTTGGCTTCGTTATTTACAATGCAGATACTGCAGCTGTAGACAACTGATTAACAATGTCTGCAAAGACAATGGAAACATTTTTATCTTTCACCTGACATCCAGAACAGCTTCTGAGTATGACGGAGGAGAGTCCAGCGAAAGACTGGAGGGATAGAGGGCCCCAGAAAGCAGCTGCAGCGCCTGAGGTGTTGAGCTGTACAGGCCTGCTACGGCGGGGGAGCCAGGGGAGAGACTTGGACCACCGGGATGAGCGTGGCCCCTGTCCAGGATGACCAGACGGGACAGCAGGAGAGGCTGGTGGTGCTGAGAACTACCCCTAACATTTCTGGGTAACAGAACGCTGCGTTTCCTCTGGTGATGAAGCACAAGAGCCAGCAAGGCCACAACCAGGACGAAGATGACTGCACTGCCAATGACGGCGTAGGTGATGCTGGGGTAGTACCGAAGATGATAGTCTAGTGTCACAAAGTCCTGGCCAGGAGCTTCTGTAAAAGAGATAAAAAAATAAAAAAATGATGATAGGGAATGTTAAGCCCAGTTTTTGAACAATCAGTTGATTTTTAAAGCATAAGAGACAACACATCAATAGATGTACCAGTTTTGGCCATGGTGTGTGGTGTGCTGCAGCTTGGCAAAAGCTAAACACAAGCTGCTTTCCATCATGGAGATTCTGCATTAAGACGGATAACCGTGCATGATGAAACGTGAGTTTGAAGTAAATAAACATGGACGAGGAAGAGAATGGTGCATGCTTTGTTCACCTCGCTTTCTGATTGTTTAAACATCACATTCAACAGGTAGCTCGTTCGTTTGTTCCCAAATATCAGACCAGGATAATGTTTGAAAATCCGGATTTAGTATTGGAGCAGTCCTGATTATTGTGTCTACCACTAGGGGGCAGTATAAGAGAGGAGAATGCAGGTAGGGGAGAGGGAGAAGGAGTGAGGAGTTAAGATGGATGCTTGATATTGCTACATGTGACGGGTGACACAACTGCCGACCATAACACCGACATTATGAGTGGACCAGCGTGCTCTTAACACACCACACAAGGTAGGATATTCTGATAAGATCATCTTTAGAGCCATGACAGTAATCTTGCACAAATTATTAGCTTTTTGGAAGGGGCAGGGTTGATGAAAAATGGGCATGATTATCCTGCTGTGTGAACTTCTTTAGTGGAAGAAAAGTGAGGATGAAGGTTGGCGTCAGACAAGAATAATAAGAATAAGAATAAGAATACCTTTATTAGTCCCTTAGTGGGGAAATTGCAATATTGCAATGGCTTAGGTACAGCAGAATAGCAGCAGTAGCACACAAGATATCGCACAAGAGTACATAGTAATGATTAGTTAAGATAATTATTGCACAGGGTAAAGAGAGTAGTAGTTATATTGCACATGTTTTGAAAAGACGATATTTGCAGTGGAAGGTTACAGATGTATGGCTTCTGTTAGCGGTGACTATTATAGAGTCCAACAGCAGCAGGGAGGAAAGATCTGCGGCATCTCTCCTTCGTATAGCGAGGGTGGATCAGTCTGTTACTGAAGCTGCTCTCCAGAGCAGACAAGGCATCCTGCAGGGGGTGTGACTCATGGTCCAGGATGGATCTGAGTTTTGCCAGCACCCTCTTGTCCCCCACCTCTCGTACTGAGTCCAGAGGACAGCCCAGGACAGAGCTGGACTTCTTTATCAGCCTGTCCAGCTTCTTTCTCTCCCTCTCTGTGATGCTGCTGCTCCAACACACCACACCATACAGGATTCCTGATGCCACCACAGAGCCGTAGAAGGTCTTCAGGAGTGTCCCCGTCACCCCAAAAGACCGTAGTCTCATCAGGAGGTGGAGCCTGCTCTGGCCCTTCCTGTACAGTGCGTCTGTGTTGTGAGACCAGTCCAGTTTGTTGTTCAGGTGAACACAGGAATTTATAGAAGTCCATTCTCTTGATGTCCATTGCCTGGATGTTCACCTGTGAGGGGACAGCAGGCCGATGTCTGCGAGGATCCACCACCATCTCCTTTATTTTCCCTGCATTGATCAGGAGGTGGTTTTGCTGGCACCAGTCGACAAAGTCCTGCGTCAGTCCTCTGTACTCCATAGTCGTCCTCGATGATCAGTCCAACAATCGCAGAGTCGTCTGAGAACTTCTGCAGGACACAGCTGTCCATGTTGTGTCTGAAGTCAGCGGTGTAGAGGGTGAAGAGAAATGGAGCCAGGACAGTCCCCTGGGGCACACCCACACTGCAGGTTGGCGGGTCAGACACACAGTCCCAGGTTCTCACAAACTGGGGCCGGTTTGTGCGATAACTCATGATCCACACAGGTTAGGGCCCAGCCCAGCTCTCTCCAGTTTAGTTTTCAGAATCCCTGGCTGGATGGTGTTAAAAGCACTGGAAAAATCAAAGAACATGATTCTTACAATGCTGCCAGGTTTCTCCAGGTGAGCCAGAGCACGATGTAGTAAACAGGTGACTGCATCTTCTACTCCAACCCCTGGTTGGTAAGCAAACTGCAGCGGATCCATCGAAGGTCCCACTGTAGACCGGAGGAGTCCCAGGATCAGTCTTTCCAGTGTCTTCATCAGGTGGGATGTGAGAGCCATCGGCCAGTAGCTACTGAGCTCATTAGCTTTTGGTGTTTTTGGCACTGGAACCACACAAGAGGTCGTCCAGAGCTGTGGTACGTAAACAATGAGGACAGAGGAGGAGGACAACAAGAGGATGCGATGTTCAGTTGCAACCTTCCATCAGTTCTCAGCATGAGAGGAGAACTGGTGTTAAAAGTGACAGGTCATATGCATCCCTTTGATATTAAACTGTATTTTCTTTAATTCAGTAACAACAGTACGTGTAGATGAGTGTTGCACGTAACAAGTATATAAGCTCCACAAGACGGGGAGGAAGAGTTGGCCTTCAGCCCAGAAGCTGCCTCGGATCCCCGCCCAGGTCAAAAAAATGGGACTCAACTCTCCAGCAGGAAAGAAATATAAAAAACAGTTAGACTAAATGAGTCATTGTGAGGACAAAACAACCTCAGGGGTCTGTAACAAGTAACTTGAGTGGTTGTGTATTAACAATGAAAGGAGGCCGGAACAAACACCAGGGGTCGTCACGCATTACCGAGTCCGTCACAGGAACAGAGAGCGTCTGCAAAACACTTCCAGGAAACGAGAGCGGTGGCCTGAAACTGGGAGCAGGCCATCCTACTGCCTCAAATGAGGTAAGGGACGACTGTAATGCCAGAGAGCACTGCAGCTTATTATTCTAGATAGGATGAGGGAATAGCACTTAAGCATTTCCACTGACTGATATTACAGTGAGAGAATTTCAATCAGGCACTCGGAATGGAGCTCGTGTAAACGGTGTTTCAGCTTATCAGCTGACAGCACTGTTATATTAAAGGAGAAGGGATGAGAGACGGGAAGGAATCTTATTTATTACCTAGCCGCAGAAAGGATGCGTTAATGAGGAACGAGCTACATAAAAGCATTTTACAGTTGCTGTTTCAGTTCAAGTTACACTTATGCCTCCGGGGACCGAACATCAAACGTCTGCGTCTCTCATAAAAGCTTAAAAGGTTCAACAGAATATTTTCTGTGCTCTTGTCTCCCAGACTTCCACAATGCTGCTTTAAAGTTCACATGGATTAAAAAGCCTAACAGCCTCCCCGCTCTGCTGGCCATCAAACAGGGAGCTCAGGATATTGCTCGGTTCGCTTGCCAGGAAATGGCCATTATCAGATATCTCCAGTTTGAATCGATAGTTTGGAAATGCATCTATCTGGAAGAATTAGATCTCAACGTAACTGCAAAGTAGGAGAGCAGCCCGTTAACACGCTTTTGGAGGATTCTGTATTCATATAGACTTACAAGCTCTAAGGGGATCAGGTGTTTTGTTCAGCATTAAAAACGTAGGAACATTAACAAGACTCAAAGAAGCAAAACGCAAACAAATGTGATCCCGTTATTATTCAAGGCTCTGATTTGAAATAAATAAATGAACAGAGTCACTAAAGCTTTTGGTTTATGGTTTGTTTATCCTCTGGAATCCAAATTGCACTTTATGCAATCCCTTTCCTACAAAGATTGTGATGCTGCAGACAAATACAAATAAAAATACCTTTCTCCCTAATCATTTCCTCCACATGTAAAACAGAAGAGATTTGAAATCCAAAGGGGCTCTAATGACGTTTTGCTTCTCATCCGAGAGGCTTTGTCAATTCCGACGAATTCGGACAATTCTGACAAAGCAGGCGGTGGGGGTGGGGGGTATTTGTTGGTAGTTTCTGCTCATTAAGCAACAACAGACAGCTACAGCTTATAAACCTGACCTTCCCGTATTCCAGTCTGAACTGACAAAGCTCCTCACACGAGAAGCCAATCGTCTTAAGAAACCAAGGCCAGTCGCCTTCATTCAAACCCTTTTGGATTACCATGATCTGGATGACTGAGAACCTTCCACAAGCGATCTGAAATGTTGGAAAATGAAAGCATAAATCAGACTGAAAGCCAACAATCTGCTTTTAAAAAAGCAAGGACAATATTAACCATTTTATAAAGTCATTTATTTTTATTAATACTTGAGAAGAAGAAACAGAGGATACCACTCTGACAGACATGGTCTCTGTGGGAGTTCTTCAACAAATGTGTCTCTTCATGTTTCTCAGTTGTTGTCAATTGAGCCAAATTAGTTTTAAGAATTTCTTTTCAAGCTTCGTCTTTGCTGGCAACAAGTTGAAAATGAGCTGAAAACGAGTTAACATTTTCCCCAAATCGCCACAGCCGTAATCCTCTAAAGATTAAAGTAGAAGTGCTGGTTTTGAGAGCCAGTACAGACTCATGATACTTGCAAATCCCCGGTCATCCGATACAGCTGTGGGGCAGTTCTGATTTATCCTATAATTAATGCAATATAATTACAAATGATAAAGTTAAAGATTATGTTAATGGAAATGAGAAAAAAAATTGTTGCTGTTGACATACCTTCCTTCTAACTGACGGTGGTGAGTTGATAAAATTGAGACAAATATTGGGCTATTTAGGTTTCCATTCTCAACAGTGTTCAGATACATGAAATAAGTGTCATATTATGATTTAAATGAAAACACAAAGCATTTATAATAGCAGTGCAAAGATCTTAAAGCACAGTTTGCATGTCACAATTCACAGCATGAACAGGACATCGGTCTTCATGGGCCGGTGTTATGGCCAGGTCATGAGCCGGCATGCTGATATAGAGTTGACCCCATTAGCCCATTAACCTCAGGAAGCAACTCCGGAATAACAAGAGTTTGGCTACAAGGAGAAGATGGAACTGCAACTAAACATCACATTTTATAAAAGTTGTCCTAAGTTGCTCCTTTAGATAGAAACATGAAACTGAAAATCTAAAGAAAGAAAAACTTTGCAAAGTCTAATCGGAATAAAGAACAGCAAGGAGACAAGCAGCACTATGTGTGGTACAAAGGTAAAAAAAAAAAGGATTCTAC